AGATGAAAAATTGCCACATTGGACATTTTCTCATTTGTGGTGCTGTAAGGTTTCAGAAAAAAATGATAGAGACCATGACACAAATTATTTGTCCCAGTTAAATAAAATTTAATGACCATGTGTGGTGACAAAAATGAGAAAATCACTTTGTCATATAAGCTACTTACAGTGATTCATCATGAAAGCCTTGGAACAGTATGTTATGTGAAATTGGATATGCCCTTTTCAGACTGCAGTAGCCCAGATCAGGGATTACATGTATTGTTGGTTCTGCAGAATGCTGGTAAAAATAGTGGTCAAAGTTTTTTAAAACTTTGTGGACTACGCTAAATTCACACAAATACACAACCAAGCAAATATCCCCTAGACACATAAAAAGACAACAATAGAATATGTATGTAATGTGCTCTGATATTTTCTACACCATTCAACTTTTCTTTCAAGGAGGTGGTTATGGCCTACAAAACTGATTTTATGGCTCACTGATATGTTTTGATCATCAGCTTAAAAAGGCCACTCTAAGAGTTAGGGTATGAGGCAAGGAAGAAAGGCATGAGAGACTAACGTCAGTCCGTTGCAATGAACATTTGCCATTATTGGTTGGTCAACAGCTAGTCCCATTTTCACTTGTGCCCTAATTTTATTTTGGACATTGCCACTCTTCCACTTGGGTTATTCATGGAGGGCATTATTTCCTTTTACCCTGATTGCCTCTCACCTTGTAGACAAGGGCAACACATGGTCTAAGCTTGGCCCATAGCACCCTTTTTAGGAACTTTAAGTTTTAAGAGAGTGATTGAAAAAATAGCAAAAGACTTGATCTCACTGATCATATAGGCATTATGCTGGCTTGATTGTTTGAGCACCCTCTGTTTTCCTTTTCTTGTGACTCCATAGGTTCTGGCCAACCATGTCTGGCCTTCTAGACTCGGGCCCAGTGAGTGTCCTATTGCTCTTTGGTCCATTGGAGGTTTATTAAAAAAAATAATATCTCTTTCGCTTCAGTTTAATATTTTATTTAATTTACATAAAGTTAAGTTCTTTTCTTGGCAGAGAAGAGTCTGAATTGAACCAACAGTTTAAAAAGAACAGTTGATTAGGTTGGTATCATCTAACCACTAGACCGTCTTCCTATTGTCAAGGAGGGAATAGTGAGTAAAGGAGAGGATGGAAACAAAATAATTTGATGTAGTTCAGCTACTTGACAAATAACACAAAGATACAGCACCATTTCTGAATGCATAGTTTCAACTATAATCTCAATATAAATGCCAATGGCTAAATCACTAGTTGAAATTGGCTAGGTTATTAAAAAATAAAAGGCTAAGAGATATTTATTTCATTTACATAAACATTTCTTTCCTTAATAAATGGCTGGTCCAATTAATTCTTCTATTATTATTATTTTATTTTGTTGAGATGAACCAGGTCTTTATATGTATGTGAAAATTGTACTTAGGGGCAATGTATAGTTTGATCATAAGTAACAATTAAATGAGTTGACGCTTTTGGGTAAATGGTATTCCAGAATTCCAGAGTGCTTATTCTTACTATTAGTATAATTGTCATAGTTCTTGTCTATATGTTTCAATACCTGATTTTATTTGATGGGGTTATTTTTAATAAAATGTTTTTAAAAACTGCTACCTTTTTAAAATAAAAAAATTAGAAAGATAATAAGTGGAAAACATTTTTAAAAAATCATTTCAAATGGCTATCTAAAAATGATCATCATCAAGATGTGATGATGGTGACTTTTTCAAAATCTTTCTATGGGGAAAAAAAGCTGAAGATGATCTTATGTTACTAGTATACTGCAAAGGTAGTTTCTTATTTAAAATATTTTTACATATTAGAATAATTAGTGGGATTATGAGGTGCCCCAGATCTTTTTTAAAAATGACAATGCTCAGTATTTTTGAGTGTGCATCATTCTAAAATAATTTGGCATAATATATTCAAAAGTCTTAAAATTATTCATAGTTTTTAGATAAAATCAAAGTAAAAAAGTGCTTAGTTACATAAAATAGCCAGAGATGCAACTCAATAACTATTATAAAGATATTTAGTGGTGTTATTAATAATGGTAAGAAATTGGTGAAATTACATTACATATACCCCAACTAAAAGATAGTAAAATAAATTACCTTATTCATTGCATGTAGTACCATGTAATCTTGACATACAATGTTGAATAAGTCATTAAATGATATAAAGTTGTTTATTATAAACTATTGAGTGGAAAAGTTTACACCTGCACATATATGCAAATATTTTTGTATACATATGTGTGCATATGAAGACATATTTATATACACATACGGAAAGGGTAAAAACTAAAGTGATAATTATAATTTTTTATTTTTTAATTTAAAAATATTATCCAAATGTTTATAGTATATTTCTTTCAAGTTGAGAAAGTATTATTTTAATTTTTCCTATGTTTGGGGAAATCCAGGATTGAATGACACCATAGATTCTAAATCTATTTCAAATATTTCGGTTTAAAGACCAATTGTCAAGCAGAAAAAAAACTGATCAAAGCACAACTGGACTTTAGGTAACTTACATTCTTCTTCAGATAATGTAAGACAAATCAAAATTTATTCCTTAACTTTTACATTTCTTTTTTTATTATTTTAAAAAGAGTTTTGGAGCAGTACTAGGGACTGAATTAGAACAAGATATATTTCATGCTTTTATGTCAAAATGGATTCTACTGTCAAGTGTAACTAAAAAGAACCAATTAAGAATTTTTTAAAAAGGGTTTTCTATTGTATTATATAAACTGTCTTCATATACTAATGCATAAATTAAAAATCTCTTTCTGCTCAAAACAGCACAGTAGACCAAATTTTGCTAATATGTCATGTACTAAAACATAATTTTTGAGTTCTAAACAACTAATTTTAGACTAGATTCTGAATCTATTAATTTATGGATTTGGTATGTACAGGAACCATTCCAGTGCCTTTCAATTTGTCCCTGAATTTTTTCTCTTTAAACTTCCAGGCAGTAATTTATCTTAAGGCCCTAAAATTGAATAAAGCTAAATATTTGGAGCTCATAAATTATCTACACTATATGACCACTAAAAATTGAGATGTGACTTACATATATCGTACCCCTCAGAATACCTAGCCCCATGAAAAGACTTCTTAATACCAATTAAGGGACTAGTTCATCCAAGAATCAAATATGTCAGTAATATTTGACACAAATATTACTTAAAAACACAAATCTGTTATTTTTCTTATATCAATAAAAATTTCCTTCTGTCTTTCAGATTTTTCTGATAATGTTTTTCAATGTCTTGACTGTCTTGAACAATTATATATCTGTTAGTTTTTTGCTTCATACTAATGACAATTCCCTAGTTCAACAGTAATGAGAACTAAGGCATTAAACTTAAAAGGCTCTAAACAGGTTTAAATGTGGTAAAATATTATTGTAATAGAATTGTAATGTATTTCTTTTCTGCTTTCATGCTTCTCCAAAATGCTATAGTTCTTGTGACATTTTTGTCCTGCACAGAGTCAAATTTGGATTTTTCACTTTCAGATGGCTAGGGCACCATAAAGCATGATTTTTTTGGTAGCAAAGATGTTTCCAGAAGTTTCAAAAGGGACTACTAGTGAGAGCTAAAAAAGTCACTTTTCTTTAAATCTAGATCATATACAGTTAGTTTGTAAAGAAAACACAATAACTCTGTCCTCCTGCCTCTAATAACAATGGAAAAAATGGTAGGTTGATCTTTCAAAAAGGTGCTCCACAAAGTCATCCTCCGAGAGTTAGACAAATGGTGCTTTGGTGACATTTAATGTTCAATATGTGATGTGTTACTCTTACAACTTTTGCATTACTCTCCACACATATGTCTGAATAGCTAAATTATTCTGATCCTAAAAAAAAGAGAGAGAGAATTCACTAGCAATATTTAAAGCTGTTTCTTTCTAGGACTATACTTTCTCAATTATATATTTGGAGAAAAGTAGTTAAGCTAAACTCTGTCAAGAGCTCATAAATGAGGATAGGCTAAACTTTGTCAATGCTTAGACAACCCTGGAATGAATTTAGTAAGGTTCTTGTAAGGACATCTTTGGATTATACACCCAATATACATACATGAATATTAAATTGTTATGACTAACCTATTTAGTGGAAATACCATAGACTTCCTTTGAGCACAAAATCTAGTGATTGTTCATGTCAAAGAGACACATGCATAATTTTACTCAAACTCCTATAGATGCAGTCAGTCTAATGAAGGGATTAAAAATCATTTTGCCAGTTGTTGCTCTTCCAAAGAATACAGAAAAGGTAAGGAAAAGCACTAGAAAACAAATAATGTATAGCTATGTGCATCTATGGAGAAAAAGCGAATTTGTACAAGGCAACGCCTGTCTTGACTAAGGACAAACAAGAATTTAGCAATGCTTAACTTCAAAGAAAGGAAAAACCCTGGAAAGAATAATGTAAAACTGTCTCAAAAGAAATCTTCATTGCATTTTATATGCTTCTGTCTGTCCTTACCCATTCCAGTGTCTGGACCAAAGGTGCACTTCTTAGAAAAGCCAGGTTTGTAATGGGAACAATGTTCTGACTCTACTTTTTTCTAGCCAAGTTCTGCAAGCAACTGACCCAATTTACCCAAATCTCATCACTCCATAATCTATAGTACGTGTCAGCTCCACAGCTATTTGCTGAACTTCAGCATTGATCTCTTTAGCACTGATTTTCTTGTATGATTTTTGTTCTGTGATAAGGAAGCACAGTATGAATAGAAGAGACTGAAGTCCTTCTCTGGGCCAGTCCCAGGAAACTGAAGTTGAAGGATGATGGGGAGTGTACAGCATAAAATTCCTCATGCAAAATTCATCAAACAAACATGGTATACATATTCTCCTGGAGTATAAACAAATTGCATCAATTATGAGCACCATAACCCCAAACAAAGCTATATCAAATTCTAATGGAACAATTTAAAATCAGACAGTGCATCACTGGGTTAATAAATCAGAAATCAACTAAGAGACAATACTTTAAATACCATATAATTGAAAACGCCATGCCCCCTTCATAGTTATTTTTAAAATAATGGTCAAAGCAGGAGAAAGGAGCAAGCACCAAGTTCACTAATGCAGGCTACTGGGCGGCTTTGATCAAGCACTGCGGTTCACAGATGAACACTTTACTTCTTCCTTTCAAGCTACCGAATCTTTGTTCTTCTGGAACGGGGATTTTATCTTCTTCCATATATTGCTTTTGGGTTTGGATTTTTTCTTTACGTCCAGCACTGCCTCCTTTTCTTTCCTTCGGATCTCCTGTACAAGTGTATGGAAGACATTATCAACGTAGCAGCGGTATGCAGCAGAGGTCTCAAAGAATGGACAGCTGAATTCCTGGGCCAGAGCCAATCCTTCTTCCTTGGTGACCTGTCTTAGCTGTTTTAGGTCAGACTTGTTTCCGACAAGAACCACAGGTGTATCGTTAGTATGTCCGACTTGATCAATAAGCTCTTTAAACTCCCGAACTGCATCGAAACTTTGGCGATCTGTGACAGAATAACAGATGATAAATCCTTCTCCTGCACTCAGGTAGCGATTCCGCAGGGCTGTAAACTCTGCCTGTCCCGTTGTATCCACAATGTCCAGATTGACAGGTTCGTCATCAACACGAACCCGTATTTTATAGTCGTCTTCAATGGTGGGGTCATGGTCTTCTGGGAATTGGCGGCTGACGAACTGCATGGTCATGGCGCTCTTCCCCACACCTCCAGCACCCAGCATCACTAATTTGTACTCTCGAGTGACCCCTGCAGGGTTGCTAGGGTAGCAACCAACTGGGCGAGTTCCAGAAGCCATTGTCATCTTGGGAAGTCCCGGTGACCCCCACGGAAAACCACCCTTCAGGGTGGGAAGGCGTTGGTCCGTTGCTGCGTTTACCCACTCTGTGCTCCTTGGCTCGCGGGTGGCTCCAGCGCTGACCTGTGACCCCTCCCGTCGCCGGGAGAGCTCCACGCCACAATACAATAGGGCTGGAGTATATAGATTAAATAATAATAATAATAATAATAATAATAATAATAATAATAATAATAATACTGTGTGTAAGAAAATAAAGTTCACCCTGAGGTCACTATTTTGGTGACCATAGCCTTTCAGGCATCCCTTTATGCACACGCATATGCATGCATGATCTGTCATTGTTTATAGATGGAATCATACTATATGTCCAGATTTTTATAAATAGATTCTACCTCTCCATTCCTACCCCCAGCGTCTACAACATCAGCATACCATGTTCCACAGTTGTCATTTTAACAACCTTGGATATTTCCTGTTTTTTTCCATGCTTGTATATTGATTTTCCATTTTTGGACAGTTTTCCCATTCATACAGCAATACAGTACCATAGAGAATTGATTTGTGAGTGTGTGTGAATCTTACAAAATATTCCTCTTTCACGTTTCTTCTTTTTCATGATTGTCCTGGCAATTATTGAGCATTTCTCCATATGAATTATGAGAATTATCTAAATTAAAGACTTCTTGATAAGATTGTACTTTTGAATTTTATTTATTAAACTGGATTACCTTTTAATTTATCCATCACCTTGGAGACATAAGCAATTTCATCAGGATTACTTTTAATTGAATACTCTCAAAAAGTTTTGTGAGAAATGACTAACCTAAAATTAGAAGAGAAATCTTGTTATAGTCAGTTCATACAGTTTCATCTCTTTAAATTGCATATTTTATTTATTTTAACCAAAGTATTGAGCAATACAGTTTCTGTGGTTTCTTTTAAGACTCTAAAATTTATATAGGAAAAAGATTATAAATATAAGTGTGAAAATCTCTTTGCTCTTGGGTCTTAGAAAATGAGAACTATAGGTACTTCATGCCCTGCTATAAAAATGACAAAGTAATGTAGTGGTAGGATGACCTGGTTTTCCCTGGACTGAGGGATTTTCTGGGGCAGGGAATTGCATTGATAGTATGATTAGTTGGTTGCTATATCTGGTCTGGTGTTTTGTTTTTTTTTTTTTTTTTTTTTTTCAGTACTGGGGCTCAAACCCCAGGCTTCACACATGCTAGGCAAGTGCTCTATTACTGAACTACATTCCCAGCCCTTGCAAATTTCTTTTAAAAAGAATACTTCTAAAATGTCCATGTTCTTACACACACATTCATTGAAGTTTCCGTTGTGGTCTTTAAATTTACCTTATTGATTACTCCCTGTCTTAAAAATCTTGCAAAGATTTTTGTTCAGTTAAGTAAATTTAAATGTTAAAGATAATTTGGGACTGGGGTTGTGGCTCAGTGGTAGAGCACTCCTCTAGCACATGTGAGGTGCTGGGTTTGATCCTCAGCACCGCATAAAAATAAATAAAATAAAGGCATCGTGTCCAACTACAACTAAAAAAATATTTTAAAAAATGTTAAAGATAATTTAACTGTATTGTAAATTTGATTTATATCACTTAAAATATTTTATTATGTATGTAAAGAAAAGGTTTCTCACATGTCAAACACAAAAATAAAGATAACATGATAAGAATATCAGTCTTAAAATTATGAATGTATTAAGATGAATAGCAAAGACATACACAAGGAGATAAAAATAGTTTATTGTTTTTGAAGATATTCCCATATATTCTGTAAAACTTATGTTTCCATAGAAGTCTTGTATTAGTCTTCTTGGGCTGCCATAATAAAATGTCAGAGACTCGGTCACTTAAAGAAGAGAAATTCATTTTCTCACAGTTCTGGATGTTCAAAGTCCAAAACTAGGGTAGTAGCATTGTCAGGTTCTGGAGAAGTTTCCCTTCCTAGCTTATAGATAACTGCCTTCTTGCTGTGTTTTTTACATTAGGGAGTAAGAGATGTGGAATGAACAAGCTCTCTGGTGTACTAATCCATTATAAACCAAATTAAATTCTATAGGCCCCATCTGCAAATACCAATTCTCTAATTGAGAATTAGAGCTTCAACATATGAAAGGGGCACAATTCAGTCCATAAGAAATCTCATAAGAATCCTCACACAGATTATGAGAAATTAGTGATTTCTTGCAGTTAGTTCAGCTTGATTAATAAATTGCTGAAAGGTCTCATGTCTGATTAATCTCTAAAAAACTATTCAATTTTCTGCAGTATATTTTAATATGACATTGTATTGCATATTGGATAACACAGTTTTCATGGAATAAAATACACTAAGATGACTGTATATAAAACTACACAGCCATCAGAAAATGAAGGGCTTTCAAGTCATCAGAATGCAAGTTATATTGCATTTTTATTGGCTTATAAAAATCCATAATGGACTTCAGTATAGTGTATTAAGCAGATGAATATATTTGGTCTTTGTAAAGTCATTTATTTTATGTAAATTTTTATTGTAATTTTCTCCTCAAACATCCATTGTATTGTTGTGTTCTTTGTGAGGTGGGGAGGATGTTAGCTAGTGTCACAAAATTTGCCACTAAACCACTGAATTGTGACAATGTCAACCTCTATATTCCCTATCTGTTCTTCCAATTTATAAGTGTAAGGCAGATAAAATGCTTTATGCACACAATATATTGTATGGGTTTGAGTGAAGATATGCACTAAAACTCATTATTTGAAGGATACTATGTTTATAAATATTAGCAAATAAAAGCAACAGAATATCTTGCTGATCTGAGATAACATAATCTGGATACTTGCTTCTAGATTTTATTTTTTCTTAAGTATATGACTATCATTATTCATCTCATGAATTTTACAGCCTATACCATGTCTAGGTCAGTTTATAGCTTAGTTTGTATAGATCTATTCTTCAGGTTTTTACCCTTGTTTGGAGGGAGATGGTTCTATTCATTTATTTGCATTTTTTTGTTTATGGGGATAAAGTGATTGAATAAAAGATGATCTGAAATTCTCAGGGCTTAGAATGTTTCTATGATTTGACTGATTTTTCCATGGCTGTTTTCAACTATTCTAGCCATTAGTAGACAGATATTTGTATGGGGGAGATCTATGTGAAGATAGAACTAATTGGAGGTAGAGTGAACTGGTGATTATAGACAGAGAGAGAAAAAAAAAACCACTTAATCCATGTGGGCAATTGACTATATTAGTATGCAAATTGTATCTGATGTTCTCATAAATAATGTGTTTATAGAAAAAACAGCCATTTGGTTTCAGTAAATGGTGGTACATGCAACACTTTTGTAGATGATTTGTGGGCCATAGAGGGGTGATGCTATTTCTCCTACTGAACACATATTGCTCTAACTGTGTATTCAAGAAAAGGTATAAATCATAAGTGCAAAGTAAGCAAAATGTAGCTACCAACATTTGTTTTAATTATGTGATATTGAAATATCTCCTCTTAATATTTTTCATGACTGATGGCTTGTAAAGCTACCACGGAAAATAAAATTAAGCATTATATATAATGTAATTATGAGCCTTCAGTCTTGCCTGTACTTGTAAGGTAATAAAGCATATTTGTATTACATTTTGATCTTATTTTATTCCTTTTGTGAATGTTAGCTTTTCTGTTGAAACTTATCCTAAATTGAGTTTAAGTTACATTCTGCAGTGTCAGGAAAATTGATAACGTTTATTTCTTAACACCCTGCAATATATGATCTTACTAACTCTGTATTAATATCACCAAAGAAGGGTAACAAAAGGGGCTTTTAGCTTTCACCTTTTGTTCAATAAATCAAACATAAATATGGTCTGCAGATGGCTTTTTAGTGAACTCTGCCATTTTATTTGTCTTTTATCTTGAAGGTTTATTGCTTTACATGGCTTAAAGTGATTCAGGGTCTGAACTGTTTAATCTGGGATGTTTAGGTTATTGGTATCTTGACCAGTGTATGTGAGAAAGTCAGATGCTAAAACTTTCTGTTCATGCACAGTAGGTACAGTGTGTGAATTTCAATGATTCATTCCTTGGTGCATAAACTTTCATTACCCACTTGTTTTTGAAAATGTATTGTATTTCTAAATGACGATTTAAAATATTGGATCTTTTCTGATTATTCTGTCATACTCAAGCTCAAAAACTTACTGTAGACCATGTGTTAATTCTGTTTCCAGATTGTTTCATGGAAACTTCCAGGAAAAAGCCAAAATGGTAGTTAAGAACTTATCAATATCTACTAATTGTACCAAGATAATGATTGTTCTGCATAAAATTTTATAATTTTAATGTAAAATTCCTTTGTCATTTGCTTTTATGCCCTTTTAACACGACTGATTTAGTTTCTTATGGAAGAGAGGAATGGAATAATACAAGAATAAGTATAAGGCTGGACCTCAAAGGAAGAAAGAAAACTCATAATTATTAAATACTATTTTACACCAAACACTGTGATAAAAACCTGGATGTTTGTTTTGCACTTAAAATCTGGTTGAAATTGCATGAATATCACACAATCAGTATATTGAAAAACTTAAAATTATCATGTACTACATAGTATTGTGACTCTACTCTACACTGCTATAATAATAAAACACCAGAGTAAAATGATTTTTATAGGCATAAACATCATAAGTGTTCAGAGATGAGAACGATTGGCATGGCACTATGCTGGACAGGTAAGACTGAGACTACAACTGACCAAAAGGGTGATAGTGATTTATGACTCTTGGTTTAGCACAGAGTTCAAGAACAATTTTACACATTTTTTTTTTTTGCGTGTACCATGGAGTAAATTTAGGGGCACTCAACTACTGAGCCATATCCTCAGGTCTATTGTGTATTTTATTTAGAGACAGGGTCTCACTGAGTTGCTTAGCGCCTCACTGTTGCTGAGGCTGGTTTTGAACTTGTGATCCTCCTGCCTTAGTTTCCAGAGCAGCTGGG